AGAAGAAATTGATAATTATTCTCTAAGTCCATATGGAGAAATGAATTAAAATAGTCTTAATTCTGTTACTCATGATGATGGAACTGTTGACAATGACAGTGATTAAACACTGAAGCAAATTCCTTAAGAAGGTTGTAGAGTTTCCATTTCAAACCATATGAGAGAGAGAGGGATCAACAGAATAGTTTTAGTTTTAAGCTTTCATCTGCCTAGCGATAAAAGTTTGAGTCAGAAGTATGTTTTTCTTTTAAACATGTATCTTTCTAATAGAATAGTGTGCAATACAGACTTATAAATTTTTGTTGCATTTTATTGATTTGTGTGTTTATATTTCTATATGCAATTCTTTTTCAAGTAACGGGGCAATATAAACAGCTCAACTAAAGCTTTTAAAAGCTTCATGCTATTATCACTTCATATAGCTCTTTCTCTTGGACTGGAGAGTTTAGAAAAAATAATTGAAGACTGAGTTAGAGTCCCTAAGTGCTGTCATCTTCTCTTAGTTGGAGAAAGTACTAACTCAGAAATTGAATTTAAGTTGGGCTTTGAGTAAGGTAAAGAAAGTTTGGCAAACTGCAGTATGATAGAGGAGTATCTTAAAATTTGACTTGAAAAGTCAAAGTATATCATGCTTGAAATTCTCAAATGATGTGGATAGATAAATGATTGCTAAGTAGATAGAAATAGAATGAATAATGAAGCAAGTATGGGAAGAGGTTAGCATTTGGGGAATCTGGCTGAAGGGCATATAGGAATTCTTTGTATTATTTTTACACCTTTTTTGTAAGACTCGAATTATTTCATAATAAAAAGGTAAAAAGAAATGACTGTGATCTGCCATCACTCCTGGTCAGCTTTCTCACCTGTCTTTGTCTTCTGTAGCACGTGTATGTGGTCAGCGAAGCCTTTTGCATTTGGCTCTCCTTTCTCCTCTTTATTTCTTGGCAGTTCTCTGGATGACTTCATTGTCTTCAAAGCTGACACTTTCAGTACCTGATTCCTTGATTTCCTCCTCTCCAAGAACCTTTGCCATTAATCTATTTCTTCAACCCATTCTCGGATGAACCACATCTTGGACTTTGTCTTTACATGTTACTCATTTTAGAAATTTTCATTCCCTGACTGTAACATCTTGTCATTTCAATACAAAAAATATCGTTGTGTTTTTCCTAATGCTATTGTTTCTCCTCTGAACCCATTCCTATTCTTCTTGTTTTCTTCTTATGGTCTGTGAGTTTTTTCTTTACTTCACCTAACTCAAACCCTATGGCAGTTCATTACTTTGTGTATTCCTGTTTGTCCCTTTTTGCAGTGGATGTCTTTGTGAAATCTCAGAGTCTTCCACTTGAGCTTCAGTATGTCTAGCGTATTTTGTATTTGGTCTCTATAGCCCTAGCATACTCCTTAATTACATTCTACAGTCATGCGTCACTTAAAGACAGGGATACAGTCTGAGAAACGCATCGTTAGGCGATTTTGTCATTGTGCAAACATCATAGAGTGCACTTACACAAATAGAGATGGGATAGCCTACTACACAGCTAGGCCACACGGTACTAATCTTATGGGACCACCATTGTATATGCGGTTCGTCATTGACTGAAATGTCACTATGCAGCGATGTATTCAAATTATGAGATTGGTTTTCCTTCCTATTGTACTATAGAATCCTTGAAGGGAGAGTCTTTTTCTTACTTGTCTTTGTTTTCCCAGTACTTATCACAGGACGTATCACACTGTACCTTTTCCATGAACTATTATTAAACTAATGAATAAAATTAATTGGGGGGATCAAACTTTCTATACAAATAATTGGATTCTGGTATAAGATAATGCATTATGGAAGAGTAGAAAAGCATTGAGAGCATTCAGAGGATTTGAGCAATATTTGCTAAAATAGTTGGTCAAAAAAAAGAAGGCAGACAGGAAGGAAAATTTGATAAATCAGCCTTGTTTACTCTAAAGTAAAATTAAATTCTCCATAGAAGAGTATGGATAGTCTGATTTGCAGAGCAGGCTCCAAATGTCTGATGAATAGTTATAGTTAGGAGTCTAAAAGCTTTTTCTACAGAGCAAGATTAGAAAGATGTGGGAATAATCTGAGCCGAACTACAGAGTACAGGTTGTTCAAAAATATTAAACACTTACAATTAAAATCCAGAAGTGTGTTAGAACTTGATGAGTTTATTTAAATAATACTACAAGGGGTTATAATTACTAAGATTCAGGAGGGATCAGGAAAGAGTCTTCTTATTGGGGAGCTCCCACATCTGCTCTGAGTTTGGACAAGATAGCACAATCCCAGGTGAAAAGGCAGTGATTTATCAAGAGTTCAAGGATCACGAAATTTGACATTAGGTAAGCCGAAGTAAGAAAGAGAGCTATGAATATAGTAAGCACATAGCAAGTATAGATATCAGGGATGGGGTAAAGTAGACACTTGGAGGTTGAGGGATAAAAAACGGAAAGGGGAAAGATGCTAAACTAGACCCAGAAATACAGAGGTAAAAACCTGGCACAAGTTGCAGATATTGGTAAGTTTGGTCTCAAAAACAGGTCAAAGAGTGGACAAGATTCTGAAGCAATTGGTGTGGTGTTGTCATGGGGAACTTGGGGCTTTCTGTAGCGGGCAGCGATTCATGGCTCATCCTTTTACCTTTTGAAGAATCCTTGTGCCTCATAAACTGGAGACTAGTATAGGCCCTAATAGTTCCCTTTTGATATGTCCCTGGAGACAATGTTTGTTATTTTGATGTTGTTTTCAGTAAGTGTTTATAATTTTCTTTCAGTTGAATTACATATAAAGTGATCTGTTAGTGTTAGAAAGCATGGTCTGTTAACTATAGTGTAGTATTCGTTAGTGTCCATTTATAACATTCCCTCATTCAGATTTGGGGGGTTCCGTTCTACTAATACCAGTCTATTCTAGAGAAGTAGCAGGATGAGCATCTAATGCAAACCAAGTAAGTGTTTTGAAATATCAAGAACCAGTAAATAATCTTCAGATACTTAAAATTGTTACAGTTTAAATCAAAACAGAATGTAATGTTGGAATTTTGTAGATATGTCATAGTATGTAATTATAATAGCACGTTCTCCCAATTTGTTCCTTCAAACAAAGTGAAATCCAGAGTAATTTACCAAAACCAATGGTTTCTGATCTAACTTTCAGCCACCAATAAGGTAATGTCCAGAACTTGGAGTTTCTAACTGGCTATACCTAATTTCAATATATGTACATGCAAAGAATTTCTCCTTAAAGAATGAATACTTTGTGAGAGGTACCTTATTTATAAGTGCCCTATTTTGTTTTTATTCTAAAACTACTCTCTTCTGACTTAAAAGGATTTTCAGTTTGCCAGGTTGGAGAAGCATCGTCAACAAGCAGATGAGATTCACCTGCTTTTTAAAGTGCAAGGATTATTTCTGCTGGAAATAATAAAGTACTAGTTACAATCAGTATTGTGCCTGTTGATCTGATTTACCAGTGAAAGAGTTCATTTTGTGCATATGTGTGTGTCATTTTCTCCCAGAACTTTTACTTATAACATCAAATATACACTGTTTCTTTGAGATAACTATTTGAAGATTGGCACCTGAGGTAACAACTGTTGCCAATCTTTTTTTTTTTTTTTGCATTTTCTCCCAAAATCCACCCAGTACCTAGTTGTGGGTCCTTCTAGGTGTGGCATGTGGGACACAGCCTCAACATAGCCTGATGAGCAGTGCCAGGTCCGCACCCAGGATCCGAACTGGCGAAGCCCTGGGCTGCCGCAGCGGAGTGCATGAACTTAACTACTCGGCTCCCGGGCCGACCCCTGAAACAACTATTGTTTACTAGTTACAGCTTAAAATAACTTTTATGAGATAGCCAAGCACTACAAAATAGACTTTCTGTTGTATAATACATATCTGATAAAATAGAAGTTAAAAATAATTCTCCTTATATTGTATCCATTTTAATATTGATGATGATTACAAAAATAATAGCTAACATTTGTTGATGTGCCAGACACAAGGCCGTGTACTTTGCATTCATTAATTCAGTTAATCCTTGCAACAATTCAAGTCAGTGCTATTATGTTCCCATTTTACAAACAAGAAACTGAGGCATGCATGGGTAAAGTAACTTGCCCAAAGTTATGAACTTGGTAAAGCTGGAATTCCAGCTCAGGCACTTTGATGCCAGAGTGGTATGTACATTATCACTTCACTATGATCAACTTACTATTTCCTGTTTTTTGAAATTTAGAAAACATCCTGGTGGTCTAGTGGTTAATATTTGGCGGTGTCATCACTATGGCCCAGGTCCATTTCCAGGTCAGGGACCCACACCACCCATCTATGGGTTGTCATTCTGTGACGGCTGCGTGTTGCTGTGATGCTGAAAGCTCTGCCGCCGGTATTTCAAATACCAGCAGGGGCATCAATGGTGGACAGGTTTCAGCAGAGCTTCTAGACTAACACAGACTAGGAAGAAGGACCTGGCCACCCACTTCAGAAAAATTGGCCAGGAAAACCCTGTGAATAGCAGCAGAGCATTGTGTGGTAGAATGCTGGAAGGTGAGAGTATGGCGCAAAGACCGGGTAGGGTTCCACTCTGCTGTCCACAGGGTTACTAGGAGTCGGAATCAAGAAATGTTGAAAATAATATCTCTAAGTCAATGGTTCCCAGCCTTGATTGTATGCTGGAATCATCTGCTCACTCCCAGAGATTTCACTTTAATTTGTATAAGGTATGGCCTGGCGTTGAGGATTTTTTAGGAACTCCTCAACGAACATACAGCCAAGGTTGTAAACCACTGTCCGAAATGCCCGCTGACTGTGGGAATGGAAATAGTAATTACAAAACCACATGCTTATCAAACTACAAAAGGAGTAAGACTGGTAAGTGCATGTTTACAGCTCTAACACTTATTTACACAGAAACATTAATTTGATGGATTTGGCTATGGTGTTTCATATACCATGTGGGTTTTTTTTGTTTGTTTTAAATACAGATACAGCCCATAGTTATCTTGAACAAGAGGCTACAGGGAGAAATAAAAGTCCACAGCCAGATGGGCAGCTGACTGTGAATTCTGAGGGAAGCATGGATCAGAAATCCAATGCATTAGTTAATGAAGCTACACGTGAGGACACAGAACTGCCAGAGCAGAGACCCAGGCATTTTCAGGCCACCAGCCCTTGTCCGGGCGATGAGACAGCTTACTGCTCTACTGAAAAACGCAAGTGAGTGCTGGCAGCCTTGGGCTTAGAAAGCAGGAATTGGGAGAACTCTCCCTCCCTCCATCTGTCCTCCCTCCCTTCTTTTTGGGTTGGGCTAAATTTGACATATCATTAACTTACTAGAATTTGGAGAATCTACCAGAGTTTTCTACTGTTTCTGTTACGTTGATACAGTGTATCTAGAATGCTAAGTGAAAAAGCACCAGGTGCTTTGAATGAAGGCTATGAGGTTTTTTTATTCCTTTTTGTTGGATATTATTTTCTGTGACCTTTCGTTAGGGATGTGGAAATAGCTGTTGAGATGATGTAAATGGGATATTATACATCAGAGCCAAAAACTGGCAGCTCTAGGACAAAATAAGCCAAAAGATATGTTTCGGTTTGGGTTGGCACTATTTTTCATTTCACTGAGTTTGAATGCTTTTAGAAGGGCCTTGTACTCTCCCATTTGCCTTCTGCGGCCTGTCCCATCCGCCTTCCCTCCCCATCCCTGAAGGGCTTTGAATTTGTGACACTTGTGACTTTTACCTGTGAGATTAAGGTACTTTGACAATTAATCATGTACAATGAAAGTACTGCTAAATTAAAAAAATGTCAATGACTAATATATTTTGTCTAGACAAAATCGTATTTTATAGAATATTATTTTAACAGAGTTTTGCATAGAAACAGCTGTTTTTATTTACTTAAAAATTATTCACTAGGTATATGAATATGTTCCTACCTCTTAGCAATCAGTTATATTCTTACGAAAGTGCAGATTGGAGTACATTTGGGGGATGGGGAATAGGGATGAGTGAAGCGGTGATAAACGTTTATAACCACATGGGAAAAATCAGTAGTAGAGATTGGGCTAAAGCCGTCTCTTTTCTCTTCTCTTCCTTTATACTACTTGCTAACAAGTTGATACTGTTCTCAAATAGCATACAGAATGTCAAAAACATTTTTTCCTTATCCTTAAATGTTACAGAAATAGGTTTTCATTTTTAATGTTTTGAATTTAGTAATGAAAATATGGTATCTGTCAACCAAATTGAAAAAAAAAAGTTTATTGTTCCTCTTTTCAGAAAAGTGAGAAATGTATCTAGAATCCTGACCAAAAGTGCAAATTGTGTTAATATTTACAGCCCCATAAACCTGAATTCTTCAAGTATACTGAACCATGAGTCTCTATAGACGTTACTAAATGCTTTCCATAGATTTAGCTCTCAGTTGATAGATTAGCACCTCTGTAAAATTGATGTTTAATTTTTCATCCATAGTATTTTCTTAACAGTACATAATGAGAAATTTAAAATTAAGTAACTTTACATATTTGTTGTTAAAATTAGATTTGTTTCCCCCATTTGAACTGTAGAATTTATAGATCCTGTATAGTAGAAATCGTATGCGTATATTGTTTAATAGCTTTCTTTATTACAGCATTATGGAACATAGAAGTAATGACTTGCATTATGAACATATGATTCCTTGTCAAGTTACTTCAGACTTAAACAAAGAGAAGACAATAGCATTTCTTCTAAAAGAATTGGACATTCTCAGAGCAAGCAATAAAAAGGTACAATATAGAAAGTCTGGTAATTGTACAGTGCTTTTAGCTGTTGACCTTCTAAGTTTGCCTTGTCGTCCATCATGATTCAGTTTTATTGTGTACTTTAATCCTTTAACAGTAGCTTTATGTTGTTGCCATGCCATGCCATCAGGGTATGATTGAGTTGCAAGATTGACTATGAAAAGCAATTTCTTTGGTTTCCTGCCTTGCTGCCCTGCTATACCACTTCCTCTTTCATAAATTTGTGGTTCCTTGCCTAGGTACCTAAAAGAGATTCATTCAAGTTTTACTATAGTAAAACTTTACTTCAGTATTATGGAGAATGAGAAATAGAATGCACTGGTTTCATGTTACTTTCTTAACGTTTTTTCTTTTTTATTAGTATCTGTTCCCTGTATTTTACCTCAATAACATATGTAATTAAACATTAAAATAGCTAGGCAATGTCATAATTTAGCTGGTGTTATCTTGTACTGCTGCATTTTGTCTAATCCAGTTTGTCATGTCATGTTTTAACTTTTCTGACTCTTTTTCTAGTTACATTCCTTTGAACATTAAATAATGTTACTAAATAATGTTTATTTTCTATGCCTTCTTTTTTTTCAACCTCTACGTACTTTCTGATTTTAATATTCTTGTTGTTTGACCTAATCAAAATGAAGTGTGATGTTAGGAATGTTCATCATGTCTGATGGAAAACAACACAAATGACAAAAGCTGAAGTAGAAATTAAAAAAAAAAAAAAAAAAAAAAACATTTGGAGGGATCCATATGAGAGCATGAGATATTTTCTGTACTTTCATTTAGCAGTTATTTATTACATGCCAATTATGAACCAGGTGCCAGTGCCAGTTTAAATACAGCATGATAGAATAGCATTCTCAGAGATTTGTATCGGATATTAAGGTAAGTATCTTAATTAATTTTGTTTCAAAATATTGGAATTACTAACAGAAGCTATAAAGGTGTACTGTCCATTATTTTATTATGATAGTTCCTTCCAAGTCTTTTGCTTTAAGACAAAAGAATAGATCAGATTGTTTTCTGCAGTAGTTATTTTTATTAATAATATTCCATCTTTAATTTCATTTGCCAGTACACACATAAATTAAAATGTTTTTATAATTTCTATATTATTACTGGTAATTATTACTTTGTAAAATATCTTCAAACCTTAAATATTCTTTTTTTCCCTAGAGTTATTAAATGTAATATTATATAAGGGTTTAGAAAGCAAGAAATTTGTCAGATAAGAATCTGTTTTTTTCAATGTGTTTTAGCTTCAAGAAAAACTGACTAAAGAAGATAAAGAACAGAGAAAACTAAAGCTCAAGCTGGAACTTCAAGAGAAAGCAACAGAAGCTCAGATTGCCGAAAAGACAGCAGGTATAGTAGATGAGTGTTATTATGTGGCATTAGGAACCATAGCGAAGTTAGTATATGATGTGGCTTGGTGATAGTCGCATTAGCTTATTTGCCAAAGGAGGGGAAGCTCTGGCTTTTTTTTTTTTTTTTGGCTGCTTAGAAAATAGGTGGCTTTAACATCCTGGTACTGGTATTAGTGAGAGCTTTACCTGTATTCATACTGATTTGGGCATTAAATGCATTGTTAACACCATGTCAATCCAATCACAAAAAGGTTGTTTGTTTTGTTGGAAAGGCCTGAACAAACAAGGGGAAATAATGATTACCAGTGCCTCTACCTTTCAACCAGCAGTTCAAATACCACTCATTGTTTTAGCTCGTGAGAGGAAATACTTCTCCTTTGTATGAAGATAGTCATACATTCATTGCCAATGGAAACCTACATTTGATTAAAAGATCTGTTTGGTGCTGTTAATAAATTTTCATCTCATGACGTGGATGATGGTGGAGATAATGTTTTCTCTGAGAAGGTTAAAGTTAGAAAGATTGCCAAAGTTTAAGATTATGAATGTCTGCCTTAAATAGGTTTTGGCGTTAGACTTTATTCACAGGTCTTTGCAAGAAGAAAATTTTTAAATATATCTGTGATATGTTACAGATATGATCAGATGATTCTCAGTAGTCTGTGATACATGTATATATATATATGTCACTGTGACTCTCTTCCTCACAGTGTTTAGTGTGTTAAAGAGAAATTTCACAGAATAATAGAAATTAGCATTCGGAGGCATTTTAGAGATCACTTATTTTGACATTGTGTATCAATTGGAATGGATTTAAGAAATGTATTTTGTGATTAGTTTGCAGTTTGATATCATACTTTATAAGCCACTTAACTTGGTTGCATATTTGACAGAGTTCTGGTATTTTATGTCAGAAACATGATTAGCAGATATAGCGTGTCATCAAAATGCTATTGTGCAAAGTAGAACTAAACATCACTGTGGGAATATAACCAAAATGACCATAAATAAATGCTCCAGCTGAATACCAGATGGTTGCTTTTCTGTTAATGTTCAACTACTGTGATTTTTTTCTGTTTCTTTTTTAATGGGGAAATATGAGAGTAATATAATTTAAGGAAAATTAACAGTATGTTAAAAATGAGTAATTCAAATATAAATTTAGAGCAACTCGGAAGTTTCTTGGCTTTTTATAGTCAAATATGTGTACTGATTGCTAGGATGGTATTACACAAAGTACATTTGTTTAAAGATGTTTGTATTATAATTTAACTTTGCATGTGTCTTACAGAAGTAATTTAATAAGATTTAGGTCATTGTGACTTATTGAAAATCATGAATTAACATGTCTACATAGCTCATTATCTCCTGGAGGAGAAAACTCATTGTGCAATCTTATTTACCCTTTAAACTTTTGTATAATTTAGTAATCATATACTTCAAATATTTATTTATTGGTATATATTTAGGGGTTCCCTTTGACCAAACAGTATGAATCATGAATGCATGAAGTGGGAAGAATTTGATTGCTTTATGATTCTTGTTAATCAAATATTTCTCATTAATGACAAAATGTCATTTTTAGTAAATAGTAAGTGCTGAGATGTTTAGTATGGTTTTATAGCTTCCTAAATTGATGAAAATAACAGTGCCATGTAGTTCCTCTGAAACAGAGCAATCTAGTTGAAAGAGATATGTCCAATCAACTTAGTTACAAAAATGACACAAAATGAAAATCCTGTATGGTTTTTTTAAAGTATAAATTTTCAAAATGAATCTTTACTTTTTGATGTTTCAGTTTTGTCTTATTAAAAAAAGATTTAAGATGGTTTAAAATTAGAATTATTATTATTGTAACATGAAAATAAAAAAACTGAATTGCTTAAGAAATCTATTGGCTTAAAACTGCAAGAAATTCATCCAGTGACCCTTGATAGACTCTTGAACTTGCTCGTCTTTTCACCTTGTACCTGCAGTCTTAAGTGAGCTTATCTTCTGCTTGATCAGTCGGAAGTGCAGTCAAAAAGCAAAACACAGTAACTAAACAGCTGTGTTTGTACCTTAATAGAAAAAGGAACCTTATAGGACTATGATTACATGTGATAAATGTTGTATTTATTGTCATATGAAAGTACAAATAATCCCCATAATCATGGATGTTTGTTTCTATCACTGCTCATTTTTATGTTCAAAATAAAATGTATTTGGTAAAGTATATTATAAATATGCACACATATTTAAGTATTATGGTGGGCTTAAGCAGAATATAAATGTTTAAAAAGTCAAAATATTCCACTGTTAAAGAAATACGTGCAAAAACATCTGAACTAAACATTGGAAATTGCAAATAGGATACAAAAATATATGTCTATAGATTTTCAAATAAAATTTTCATTAAAATATGAGATACACTAAGGAAATAGGAACCATTTCGTTTGAGTATATAAAATATAAGGATTTATATATAAGGATATTCCTATTGGTGTTAGTTATGATAGCGAGAGAATTACAATCAGTCAAGCAATAAGAGAATAGTTAAATAACTTAAGGTACATTTATGCTGTGAGACATGCAATAATTAAAAACTATTTCTGAAGAATATTTGATAATGAGAACATCTTCATGACTCAATGTTAAGTGAAAGAAATAGGGGGAAAACTGTATTTATGAAATAATTTTGTTAAAAAAACAGTATATATACATGTATATTATATAAAAAGAGAGGCAAATTTTGTTAGTATTATTAATAGATGTGTTAATGTTTCAATGAAAAGTTTCTCCCTTTTCAAGTTTTTTGCAATGAACATGGATTAAATTTAGTATTAGAAAAAGTGAAGTGTTACTTTTAAAAAATGTGATTTTTTTTAAAAAAGTTACTTGCTCTCTCATCTTAAAATAATTTCCTATGATAGGTTTGACATATAAAAACCACATAAACTGAAGTTTTATGAAATTCATGAGCCGGCTGTGATCAAATCTTGCCATTTTACCCATGCTATTGTTCTTATCTTTCAGATTTCTACCTTATTTATTTTTATGTCTTATGTGGATTATGTAACTTATGTATATATTAGTCCATCTTGTCTTCCCAGCTGATTGTGTAATTTATAAGAATAAGAGTCTGGTTTTGTGAAAACCACATGAAACAAAAGGTGCCCAGTTCTCTCTGAGGCTGGTTGAAGCAACGGGAAGACTAGACTCCTTGGAATCAGACTGACCCCAGTTCAGACTGCAGCTGTGACGCTTCCTACGACTCTGTGCCTTTGGCAAGTTACTGATTAGCCTCTCCATGTTTACTTTCTCCCATGTAAGATGTGAATATTAACTAATTTACCAGATTATTGTAGGGATCAGAGATAAGGTATAAAAGCACCTAGTATATAACTGGTACTCAGTAAGTTGTAGCTGCTATTAATATTTGATTATTTTTATCTTTATGAAATTCTTAAACCTTTGATAATGTCAGAAGTCACGAAAAGATTTTTGTTCTGTTTAGCTTTTAATTAAAGTTAGTGGCTCAGTGTTAATAGATTTTTAAAAGGAAAATAAACAGGAAAGTGAAAGAAAAAGTTTGGAAACAAAGTATTGGATGATGAGGAAAATTACTGTTGACATATATATTTATTAGCACTAATACCTTTTACTTAAATGTGAATCTGAAATAAAAGAAATGGGATACAAAGGATTTGGGCTTTAATCTAATGTATACGTGTGATAAACCGTCATGTAGACTGTCATAATAGCTTCAAGCCTGTTTCCTTTGCTTCTCTGTTGGTTTTTACATAATGTAAATGTAAAGCATGTCATTTTGGCGTGATCTCATGAATTTGGAACTCAGCTGTGTCCTATATCATGATAAAATCTCCAATGGTTGACCCTTTTCCCTTCCCCTCCTTTTTTGACATCACTGTCACCATCATCACCATTGATGCTGTTTTTATTAGGCACTTTATAGGAACTGTGCTAACATCTTTAAAACTCAAGCAAGAAATATTTACTGAAGGGCCATTATGTACTAGACACTGTTAGACACTGAATATACATCAGCAAATAAGACAGAAATTGGGATTTGAAACGTTTCATCTGCAGTCACTTCTCATTCATAAGACACCATTGTAGTAGGTGGTGGTTAAATGCTCAGACTTTGGATTCAGACCTTTGTTCTAATCTTTTTATCACTTATCATGTGTAATTGACAGCCTCACTAAGCTTTTCTTAAAACCTACTTTATAGGTTTTTGTGACGTGTAAGTGAGATAATGTTTATGAAGTGCTTAACCCATAGAAGACATTAAGTCAGTGGTAGTTATGATGATAAGATGAGTGATGCCACCATCTTGTTTTCTCAAGACTTCTTGATCTAATAGTAGGCATATTCAAAGTGTACCTAATGTAAATAACTATCCCATAGCTATTTATATATAGTTTTGTTTCACAAAGAATTGGTATGTATTTCTTTTTTAGAACTAGTTTGTATTTTTATTATTTCATTTTATCCCCACAGTTCTTAGTTTTCCTTGATTTTCAGATTTAACCTTATTTAGAAAGTTTGAAAATATGAAAATTATTTTTTTAGTCTCTACAAAAGAGAAAAGAAAGGAAAAATATATGTTAACTAGGTCTTATTTATTTAGGAAAAGCTGAAATGACCAGCTTATCACGTATGTGTTAACAGTGGAAAAAATTTATCTCATAGTAACTGTTTAGGACTTTTTACTGTGTTTTAACTCATTAAATTATACATGTGTATAATATTATTTGAAAATTATTGGCACATATGACCTTCAAATATGAGGGGATACTTTAGAGAAGGACAGCAGAAATGTTGACTCTCTTTGTCTTCTGGGTAAGTATCTCTTCTCATCTAAAGAAAATGATTAAACCACAAACGCCTGATGATTTGTTTCACTTAAATTGAATTTGGCAGTGAGAAATAGTATTGTACAGCCTGATTTACATCCATTAATTTACTCTTAGGTGAGTGATGTGGTTATAACTT